CCCCAAAACCCCAAAACCCCAAAACCCCAAAACCCCAAAACCCCAAAACCCCGTAAGTTTTAGTAAGGATTGAATCAGAATTCTTCTACATCAAAAACCCTTGAAACGTTAAACAAGTTTTCTAACCTGAAGAGACTAGATAACTCTAAAATTTATTCAATTAATTCGGAATTAATTATGGACTCCTAGAGAGCAGCAAGGGGAGTCATCTCAACGGTCTTACTCGGAAACTAATTGCTGGATAGCCTTCTTAATGGTCAGGATCCAGCTTTCACATTCTTCCTCAGTCTTAGTCCTAAAAATATACTTTGTAGTTGGATAATAGTTGGTTATCTCGAACTTAACCCCAGTGACTTGTCTCACAGCAGTTGTCACATTCAGGTCAATTTCTTTCTTGGTTCCCTTGCTGATGTAGTATAATGATAGCGAGGATCCAAATGAATTTCTATAAAAGTTAGTTGGTCGGGTTATTAATCTCAAAATCTTATTCCCTACAAAAATTTGGACAAATATTTCATGAATTTGATCATGATAATACTATTAACAATTTTGGGATACAATTGCGGACAAATTTTGGAACTCATTCTTTACCTCTTTTTAGAAGACTCTAGCGTCAGAGTTCTCTCGTTGAAGAAGAAAATACCCTTCTTATGGATCTGGGAAGATTTCAAAACGACTGTAGTGTTTCTATGCTCTTGGCTTGAAGACGTTCCTGATTCGTCCTCTTTAGAAAATTTTGTGAAATCACTAGCCCTCTTGGTATAATCATCAGAGATAAGTCTTCTAAAACAACCAGAATGGATACTTGAGGATCCTTCAAAGTTTTGATACTCTTCAGGGTCCTCCTTGATATCTTTAAGAGTTCTCTTGCAGTAGGGTTCTTCATAGTAGCAAATTTTCTTCTCCTCTTCTTCTTGTACCTTAATCTCGTCATCTTCTTCTAAATTTGTGACGACTGAAGATGACTCTTTACCTAAGAACTGAGTCTCGTCAAATAGAGTAGGCACATTATCTTCGTCACTCCAAGAGATTCTCTTCTCAAAGTCCTCTCCTTTTTCTGTAAAATACATTTCTCTATGATCATGAATACTGGAGACTTACCTTATTTCCTTGCAGGAGATAGCAAATCTGGGTGTAGTAGAACTATCCATTGTAGAATAAGCATCTGAGTTCTTAGGGTATCTCCCCATTCTGAGTTGGCATCTACTGAATCCAATTTCAGGCTTTCTTCCTGTAAAACTCTTGCTAACTAATTTCTCCTTAAAATAGAACAGTCCTTTCACTTGTGTAGCATCGAGATTTAGAAAATCGATCCCTTCGAAGAACTTGTGCTCTTTGATGCTTTCGTAATGAGCGAGATCTGAGTCTTTCTGATAGCCAATTCTCTCTTGAGGGTTTATTTTAAGGCAGCAAAGTATGAAATTTTTAACATCCTCATCAAGGTCAGATTTAAACTTAATTTTTCCTTCACAAATGTTCAAATAAGTCAGCATCTCAGTAGCACCTTTAAAGGGAGTATGGCCATGGATCATCTCGTAGATTATAATACCGAGTCCCCAAATATCAACAAGTCAGTCTGCTTTTTGTGAATTTAGAACCTCAGGAGAGATGTACTCATGAGTGCCAACAAAAGTACCATTGCTTTCTCCTCTCATATATTTAGACGCTTCTTGCCTCTCTCTTTCTTTAATTAATTTTAGTATTCTGTCATCTTTGCAATCTGTGATCTTGGCGGTACCGAAGTCAGCCAACTTTGGAGTATAGTCATCAGTAAGTAAGATATTGGAAGGCTTCAAATCTCTGTGTACTATTCCTTGCTTATGAAGATACTCGAGTCCATTCAGAATATGAGCAGCGAAGTACTTGGCTACTTCTATAGTTCAGGTTCTATTTTTGACTAAAAAATCGTTTAGGGAACCCTTCTCTCATAGTTCAAGCAAGAAGTAGTAGAACTGATCCGTTTTGAAGGATTGATAGAACTTAACAACATTCAGATGCTTTCATCTCATAAGGATATACTTTTCAACATGAACCTCGTGAATCTTGTTTATTCTAAATTCATTAAATTAAGATGATTTAAAAAGATACTTCTAAATTTAGTGAAAATATAATCCAAATGAGCTATTTTCTAGAAGCCAATGCTAATGGGCACCAGGATGGTAGATTAGAGCTTTCTAAGCGCAGAGGACTTACCTTTTTAAAAAATTTCCATCAACATACTTCATGGCGTACTCTGTCTGGTTTAGCTTATTTTAAGACCTTATAGACTGTTCCATAGCTCCCTTCACCTAAGAGAGCGATCTTGATGAAGGTGTCCTGAACTCTAAATGGGTTAATTAGTTGATGAATGGCGATAGAGCAAGGTTTAAATTTCAAAAACATTTGATGAGGAGTCCTGAAGGACTAAAGATGACGTCAATAGCTTACCGAGTCTGGTTCTCTCATCTAGGATTGTACTCTATAGCATCTGAGTACTGCAACCTTGAGTTTTCAAAGCTTTTGGTTACATTTTTACTTCTTCTATTCTTTCTGACATTTTTAGAACTTCCTCTTGAGCCTATAGAAAGTTAGCCTATTTGAAAATTTTTAGAAAAGATCTTTAGAAAATTGTTTCGAAATTTCAGTAGAATTATGAACAAAAGGATGGGCTTTTTCTTAGATAAGAGGTCTGTGGGCCCTCCTTCCCAACTCTCCCTTATGATTGGAGAAAATAAACCCCAGAATTAGTAGTTTCTTTACTGATATTTCTGAAGGAAATGCAAATGATCTCTAGAACAGCAAAACTAGCTAATTTTTAAACTCAGAGAAAGAGAAAATTTGGATCTTATAGAAAGGAAATAAATTGATCGTTTACTACTTTGGCAAAATGATAGTCTCTTTCCCAGAAAATTTGGAGGAAATTCATAATTTTCACCTAAATGCGGCTACTGAGCATGCTAATTTTTAATGATTAAAATTTTGCAACTTTCAGGACTTCCAGAGATTAATAAGAACTGATCGTTCTGAGAAAGCACCTCCTAAGAGTGTAAAAACTTGCGAGGTGATAGTTTAAGGGAAGATGATTTCGGCATTTTATAAAAATTAATCTTGGTGAGCACAAAATTCCTTCTGTCTTTCAAACAGACATAATTAGTAAAAGAGTTTAAAAATTCCGCTTGTACAAAACTGAGGTTATAAAAAGCAAAGATAATGCTTAAATTTATACCACAAATGCTATAAATATTCAACAAGATTACTAAATCACCTATACTTACTGTTAGAGCTCAACACATTATTATGTCATTGTTTCATCTCACTTGTACTCCTAACTTTCCCTGACATAAACACAAATTCCTCCCTCATCATATTCTCATCAGAGAAGTCATCAATCTTCCCACTCTCCTGCCCATCCACAGTCCCACCAATCTCTCACCCTTCCTCCATACCCATCCTCTTAATTCTCCAAGATCTATGAGTGTCCATTTTCTAAAAGTTTTATTTAAAATTACCTAAAGACTCTATTTTTTAATTGTCAATTGGTTCTTACTCATATGGGGTTTTGGGGTTTTGGGGTTTTGGGGTTTTGGGGTTTTGGGG